TATACGTTTGATAACTATATAAATATATATTATTAGTAATAATCAGTATTTGATTTTGATATCTCTTATTTTGTTGTTGGGATGACAAAAATGTTTTTTAAAAAACTACAAAGTGCTCAATGCCAGAATGATTAAGATGACCAATCAAATTAAAGTGGGCGTTTATTATATAATAATAAACTTTAACTTATTTTAAGCAGCATCTCAAAATGCTTTACCTACTTATAAAAATTTTAAAGTATCACATACAAGAATACATGCAGAAAACTAAACAAAAACAAAGCTAAGAGTATAAATAAAACAATAAATATTTGTAATCATATTTTTTAAATAATAAATGCTACCCTAAAAAAAGTCTGAGTATTAATACTAACTAAGGTAATGTAGCATAAGACGTAAAATAAGTACATAAAATTAATATATACAAATTTTTAAATAGAGATGCCCTTTGAAAATAAATAAGTTAAATTAATAACTCTTTCACAGTCCTAAACAATAAGATGTTTGTGAATGGTTTATGGAAGAAGAGACAAAAAACACTTTTTGTTTCCTTTTATTCATGCTTTAAAATGCAAATATTAACTGATAACAGCTGAGATTATTACAAAATATACCTGTATTAATTTAAACTTCTTAATAAATGTATTCTTCAGAAGAATAAAAAGCGTCATTAAAATCAGATACAAATGATGTTAGCGCATTTGATTAACTCTCTGCTTCAAATCAGCTTTCTTAATAGTAATTGTATTTTTTTGATGTCAATTACATTAGCAATAACAACCAGAATATTTACATTTTTTCCTCTAATCTAATACCTTTGTTTGATCATATTATAATACACATGTTAGAATTAAAAAGACAATAGCTCTTCTTAATATTTATATATATATAGCTTCAAATTATAAATACACGCACTAAAAAATTTACATACATTAAAGCTGAATGCATTTTCCATCGCTTTAATAGAAAAATTCTCCAAACACAAAGCATAATTTGAAAAACAATCATTTCCGAATTGACTTTGCACAAATATTGAAATTATTTTACATTCATTTAGCAAAACAGCCTGACAAACATGTCAAAGATTTGATGTAAAAGACTTTATTATGAGAGAACAAGTAAAACATTTAAATATAATACATGACAGGACAGTAATTAACACTACTGCTTCCCATAATAAGAATTAACTTATCTGAAAAGAGAGAAGAACATAAAAAGGAAAAGGAAGTGGTTGTTTTTGGATCGAATCTTCAAGTTTAAACCTTGATCCTTAACTTGATCTGTAAAGAGATAGAAAGAAAGAGGCGTCGGGTTATTATTCAGTACATTACAATATCAAAATAGATTAATAGTGAAATGACAACAAAGGCACTGCAATAGATCTGGAGCGACAACAGGTGAAATAATCAGAAATGCAGTGAAACACCATCACCAAATACAGTGTACACACACAAACGTGACATGAATTATTTATATTTTATATATTAATAACTAAAAATAACATTAGTGAAGTGAAAATATATATTAATGAATATATATACACATTTATACAACAGTTCTAGTTCTTGAATCTGATTGGCCGAATGAGATATTAAAGTAATATCAGCGCTCTTACAGCCTCTTCATCCTTGCGTATTACTACGCCAACATGAATGGCAAGCAGAGGACTACAGTTTGACAAATATTGCAGCTGTTGGACAACAAAATGTACTTTTGAGGCTTTTTTTAGGCAAGAATATAGTTTTTTAGATTGCATATATGCAGTTTATTTACAAGGAAGGTGCTTATTTTAAATATTTAAATTTCGGAGATTCAGCACATCGGCACAGAATGGCGACAGAGACTGCATAATAAGCCCTTAGAGGAGAAAGACAGCCTATGTTTCAAACTACAGCTGAACAAATCAGCACAGAACAGGTAAGTGACGTTCTAAGTCGATCTCTCTAACTTTTGTATGTTGTAGTGCTGTATTTATTCTGTAGTAATCTGCTAGTGTTTACTTTGCTTTGGCTTTCTTTCGGGGTTAATTACTGTGATCTCCCGATTTCAACAGAGTAATACTGGGAAATCTCTGTAGACTGATGTCATTTCATGCCGTTCAGCCTTATGTTAAATTGTGACTAAAAACACCTGTTTTGTCATCTTTTTAGACATTATGCAGGAGAATCATCTAAATACTAGCTCTAAAGCGATATTGGTGAATTAGCAATGATCAGCGCTCTTACAGCATCTTCACCCTTGTGTATTACTATGCCAATGGTTCCAATGGTCAGATGGAGATCTGAACCTACGGTAGAAGAAAGTAGTTTCTCTTACAAAAGGGTATTTGAGACCCACTGTGTTTGACTTTCTTTTTTATATACACGATTATGCTGTCGAACTGTTGTATAAACACAGTATCACACTCGCAGCAGTGCAATATGTCTGCATATCGTCACTGAAGGGACACTTAAGCAGGTCGCACACCAGAAGCGCCACTCGGCGCCGCGACACGGCACGTACATGACAGTTTAAGGTATCACACACCAGACGCGCACATTCGAATGATATTTAACATGAAACTAATCAGATGGCGCTCTGTGGCGCGGCTGAAAAATGAACTGCGTCCTGAGCCGTCGCCGGGCGCCGCCGACTTGCGGCGCCGGTGTGTGTATCCTGATAGAAACCTATGTTTAGAATTCTAAAATACATGGCGCTGCGTGGCGCTGCGTGGCGCTGCGCGGCGCGCCGCCGAGCGGCGCTTCTGGTGTGCGACCTGCTTAAGCCACCTGGACTGTAGCCTCGAGTCAACGCAAGCCTCCCACCAGTGCTGATATACAGCCATATTGCACTGCTACTCATGTGATATTGCACATATATATGAATTAATGTTATATGTTAATGTTACTATCACAATGTGTATATGAATAGTTCAGATGCAAAAGATGCTAAGATTCCACCAAAAATGGGATATTGACACTGAGTGAATGCTTAAGGCTCATAGCACACCATCAACAAATAGATTTGCTTCTAATAATCCAAATCCCAACGTCAGCACATTCAGAAATAACAGTTTGTTGGCAAAAGCCTCTAAACGCCACTTGCCTTTGACTGCAAAAGCAGCTAAATCCCGAGAACCAATCAGAAGGCGGGAATCGAATCATGTTTTCAATGTAGCACCGCGCTGATACGCCGGCTTTTATAAGGAGACTGTATTATTCTGCTTTCGATTTCAATTTTAAAAGACGGAGTTTGATGAACTGGATGAGCCGGTCCGACTGTCAGTGAATGTCAAATGAAAACGTCCCTTACCTTAAAACTTTATAAGAAAAAGAAAACACAATGTACAGTCGGAAGTGTGGCATGCATTCATACCGTGCTTTTGCGCAGCGAATGAGTCTACTTTGCGCTACTTTGAATGAGTCTAATTTACTTTACATTAAACGGCAACTTCATTTCAAAAGACAGAGTTAAGATGCCGTTCTTTTAACCCATGTGGATTTTATGAGGATAAACAAGAGACGAAAAAGAGACTGTGAGTATGGCAAGAATGAATGAATGACAGCTTCTAAAATTGTCTGAGAGGCATCCCCTATATGCCCAATAGGCCTACCTTGTGTTCTATTTGCTAATTTAAGCTATTTTTTCTAAAAGATAAATATAATGGATAAAACTATACATTATTTATATTACTTCATAATACCTACATGTCTGATAAGCTTTTTATATTAATGGACTATGCACAGATATTGATGTTTCATAATGTTTTACACTACATTATTTGAATCTACCAAGCTTAGTTTACAATGTTTGCAATGTTTACATTGCTCTACTTACATTAAATCTAAATCCCAAATATCAGAAATGACAAGTGATTGTTAAGATTTAATTAATGTCTGTTTTAACATTATTGAATAATGCACTTATTTGACAGATTTCATTCATTCATTTTCCAACTGCTTTGTCTCTGGTTTATCAGGGATTACCACAGCGGAATGAACCGCCACTTACTTGACAGATTTAAATATTTTTAATTTTAGGTGTTTTATGTTTGGTAAAATAATGTATAATGGCATCTTTAGTGGTTTTTTCAACTAAATACACTGTCTTGTCCCAATTGGTGGATTTAGAGGTTTTTGCTACAAAAAAAGCACAGGTGGATTTAGCTGGTTTTGACTCAAAAGAAAATCTACCTTGTAAAAACCAAAGAATTGCCTAGTGACATATTTGGGAAAAAAG